CTTCCAGTTTGGGGGAGGGGTACCACTCGTATGTTTTGGAATGCCATATTTTGATTGGCAAACATTAGAAGGCAGATGTGAAAGGAATCTGTTGTTTTACATCATTTAAGAATACAAATATTATTTTAGAATAAAATAAGTATATATTTTATTTCTCACTGCAATCGAGTAAATTCTGACTCATAGTGACCTTATAGGACAAGACAGAACTGGGTTTCTGAGATGGTAACTTTTTACCAGAGTCGAAAGAAAGCCTCGTTTTTCTCCTTTGGAGTGGCTGGTGGTTGCGAAATTTCCCACCTTGAGGTTTGCAACCCAGCACATACATAGCCCACTACCCTACTATGGGTCTTATTCAGAGGTGACCAAACCTTTAGCTGTGTTAACTTCCATGTAGTAAATACAAACTTGGGTTAATTGTGTGGACCTAACCAGGTAATTATGGTATCCTTTAGGGTCTAGGGGCACAACGGCTAAGCACTTGAGTTTTAATTGAGAGGTTGATGGTTAGAGCCCACCAACTTAAGGTTGCTGTGGGTCAGAAATTTTACTTGACAGCAACTGGTTTGGTTTTTACTTTTGATTTAGAGCCAGACTTATTGCCAGCCATTTTGGCCCTACTTTGGGAACTTTATTTTGCTTGTATTTAAATAAAGGGGGCAACTCAATGAGACAAAGGTAAATAAAAGGCTTGGCTTCTTAAACTACCAGTAACCACTTGCCTTGCCCTCTTTCTGGACCTGACTGAGGAGGAGGTGCCATCATGGGAGTTTACATCTGCCACAAGAACCAAAAACTATGCTGCAAGGAACCTACGCCTCCTGGTCAAGCTATACAGGTTTCTGGCCTGGCGGACTACACCTTCAACCAGGTTGTGCTGAAGAGGCTGTGCATGAGCCACATGAGCCAGCTGCCTCTGTTCCTCTCTTGGATGATCCAGAAGATGAAGCTTCTTGGCCGAGAAAACAAGACAGCTATGGTCGTGGGGACTATAACAGATGATATGCAGGTGCAGGATGTCCATGCTGAAGGTGTGCACCATGTGAGTGAGCAGCCAGGCCCTGAGCCACGTCTTCAAGGCGGGGGCAAGATCCTCAACTTTGACCAGCTGGCCCTGGACACCCCCAAGGGCTGCAGCACTATCTTGCTGTCTGGTCCACACAAGGGCTGTGAGGTGTACAGGCATTTTGGCAAGGCGCCAGGTCCCCCCCCCAGTCACACCAAACCATGTCTGCTCCAAGGGCCAGAAGTTCGAGCACACAGAGGCCGACGTGTCAGCCTCAAAACTAACCCCAGATCCCATCGCCCTGTTATTGAAAAAACATTTTGGTTGCTCAAAAAAAAGATGACCTCTGGAATCTCAACAGGTAGTTGCTATGACTTTCCGAACTGACCTTTTTGTCTTGGAATGAATAGAGCTGAACCCTCAGATCCCCTGGAAAATCACTGCTTTGGTTCGACTGATTCTCAGATGATTTAATCATGTTTGTTCAGTGAGGACTTCAGGCACTTGCTGATGAAGTATTGCAGCCTTCAATATGGATTACAACTTAATGTAAAGAAAACCAAAATCCTGCAATCGGACCAAGAGGTAACATCAGGATGAGTGCTCTTGGAAGCAGCAGTCAAGATCAAATGATGCATTGCATTGGGTAAATCTGCCTAAGACCTCTTCAAAGTGTTGAAAAAGCAAGGATCTTATGAGGACGAAGGCGCGCCTGACCCACGCCATGATATTTTCAGTGGACTCGCATGGAAAGTTGGACATTGAATAAGAAAGGCGGGGAAAAATTGATGCATTTGAATTGTACTGGTGAAAATTATTGAAAGTACCGTGGACTGCCAAAGAACAAACAAATGTGTGTGGGAAGAAGTACAGCCAGAAAGGTTCTTAAAAGTAAGGATGGTCAGACTTTCTCGTTTACTTTAAACACGTTAATCAGGAGAGCCCAGTCCCTGGAAAAGGTATCATGCTTGTAAAGAAAGGGGGCAGAAAAAAAGAGGAAGACCCTCTTGAAGATGGATTGACACCGGGGGTGCAACAATAGGCTCAAACATAACCCTGTGAGGATGGTGCAGGCCTGGGCAGTGTTTTTCTGTTGTACAAAGAGTTGCTATGAATCAGAACTGACTTGGTGGCACCTAACAACAATGAGACTAAAACAAGTAGAAGACAGAGAACTTGTCTGCAGCCACCCAGTGATCACAGAAGCTTATCGGAACATCTTTGGTGTCAAACTAGTGTGTGTATGAACGGGAACCCTGGTAGCAACAGTTTTTTACTTACTCTGTGAAAATGGCGGGGGCTATGTCTGACCTTTGACTTCACAAGAGGAAGGAGAATCAAACTCATCATCTCAAGGACGGATTACTTTGAGGTGGAGGCCACGCCTGCCTCTACTCTCTAACCTTCTTTAGGAATTCTGATACCAACTGCACCTCCCCTGACATGCTCAGCTTTGCTGCTAGGTTCTATCACCTGTTGCAGTAGCCACACAGGACTCACAGACAATACTCACAATTATGAGATTTATTAGGAAAGTTAATAGGTTACAAATCAGGATCAGAAATGCTCAGGGTTACACTTGTGTGGTCAGGAGCAGAAGCACCTCTTCTCAGTCATACCCACAGGCACACCTCTCTCTTCGCCTCTGCAGATAAATACCCCAAAGGGCTCTCCTCTATCTTAAGTAAGCCTCAGCATGAAGGCACTCAATTCTAGTTTCCTTGGTTTGCAAGCCTACCCCCCTTGATTAAGTGCCTAGAGGTGGAGGCACCCTACTCAGGATAGGGAAGCACCCTATTCTGTCTGAAAATATTCTGTCTTGTGCTCTTGGTGCTATTGCTGCCACTCCTCTACCACCCTTCTGGTATTACAGCCTTTGGTCTCCTGGATCTAGGAGGCTCGATGGGCAGGGGTCTCAAAGCCCAAAGGACATACTCTGCTCCAGGATCTTGCTTTGAGATGGCTCATTTTAAACTCAGCAGGGTGGCAGAACTGACCAATCCCCACAGTAGAGTTTCACATGCCATATTTGTAGTCCCCTACCCAAAGACTATGGCTAGAAGTAATCTGCTGCACCTTACCCTTGTATTATAAGATTATTTTTAAAAATTATTTGATCTTGTTGTTGAGTATACACAGCATAAATAGTCACTGATTCAAGTCGCTGCAGGTACAATTTAGTGACATTGTTCATGTTGTGCAACCATCCTGACCTTCCTTTTCCACTGGGTCCCTTCCTCTTAACAGCTGATCTTTCCAGTTGCTCTTGTCAGCCTGATCCCAGAGGTAGCTCTTAGAAGAGCACTATCTCCAAAACATACATTCTTACTAGTTAAGCTGACTATTGTTTGTTTTGAAGAAGACTTCAGGGGATATATTTGGTTTAAGGCTTAAAGATATCTCAGTGCAATAGTTTCAGAATGGAAGTATAAGAATATTTATTCAAATGGATGAACTTAGTTTTTCTTCTTAAGCTGTTCACCTGAGGAGAATGGGGCTGGTAACATTGTTTCTATAAAACAAGCTTGAGCCGTTGATTTTATTTATTTTTTAAATCATTTTATTGGGGGCTCATACAACTCTTATCACAATCCATACGTACATCAATTTTGTAAAGCACATTTGTACATTCGTTACCCTTATAGTTCTCAAAACATTTGCTCTCCACTTAAGCCCTTGGCATCAGCTCATTTTCCCCCTCCCTCCCTGCTTCCCCCTCCCTTATGAATCCTTGATAATTTATAAATTATTATTTTGTCATATCCTACACTGTCTGAAGTCTCCCTTTACCCACTTTTCTGTTGTCCATCCCCCAGGGAGGAGGTTATATGTAGATCCCTGTAATTGGGTACCCCTTTCTACCCCACCCTCCCTCCACACTCCTGGTGTCACCACTCTCATCACTGGTCCTGAAGGGATCACCCGTCCTGGATTCCCTATGTTTCCAGTTCCTATCTGTACCAGTGTACATCCTCTGGTCTAGCCAGATTTGTAAGGTAGAATTGGGATCATGATTGTGGGGTGGGGTGGGTGGGGTGGGCAAGAAGCATTTAGGAACTAGAGGAAAGTTGTAGGTTTCATCGTTGCTACACTGCACCCTGACTGGCTCGACCCCTCCCCACGACCCTTCCATAAGGGGATGTCCAGTTGCCTGAGCCGTTGATGTATTAGAGATGGTATTCCAGCCCTGGTGGTGCTTTCGTTTAAGCACTGTTAGGTCAACAGTCCTAACCCACCACCAGCTGCTCTGCAGGAGAAAGATGAGACTGCCTGCTTTGGCAAGATGTACAGCCATGGAAACCCTAGACAGGGTCACTGTGAGTCAGAATCAACCCTCTGGCAGTGGATGTTCTAGCATTGTGGCTTCCATCATGTTTAATAGACTTTTTGTTACTTGTGCTAGTGCTTACATGGAATGGAAAGGTTAATCAGAGAGCGAAAGATACAGGTTTAGGTTCACTAAATTGGATCCATTTTTTTAGGTGAAAATTAAAAGAAAGCTCAGGGACTTCTTGTTTGTAAGCTTTTAATCTGTATTTTAACTGCTGACATTTCTTTAAAAAAAAAAGTATTTCGGGGGGGTGGGGGGGTGTCCATTAGTAAACTGTATGTTATTTTGTTGGTTGTCATAGAAATGATTTCAACTCATGACCATTCCGCCAGTCCAGGCTCCATAGGGTTTTCAAGGTTGCGGCCTTTAGGAAGCAGGTCACCACGCCTTTCTTCTTAGGCACATCTGGATTGGGTTTCAGCCACCAACCCTTTGACACATTGTCGAGCACTTACCCATTTGTTCCACCAGGGACTCCTGTGTGTTTTGAAGTAGGAAAAAAATGCTATCTTTAGCTTCTGCTAAGCTAAACTTTTCCCTCCCTTTTTCCATATGAGTTTTTCTTTTGGTAGGTTATTGAAAAGTAAAAATAATTGTTTTATTTTCCTTACACTCTCTCTTCTGTGGATGTTGGGGAAACAGATGTGAAGAAATAGTACTTACATGTACACGTGCTTGTGGCAGGTGCTGTTGGCAGCGGCAGTCTGCACGAAAGCAGGAAAAGCCATCGTTTCTCGGCAGTTTGTGGAGATGACCCGAACTCGGATTGAGGGTTTGTTAGCAGCTTTTCCAAAGCTCATGAACACTGGAAAACAGCATACATTTGTTGAAACAGAGAGTGTAAGATATGTCTACCAGCCTATGGAGAAACTGTACATGGTCCTGATCACTACCAAAAACAGCAACATTTTAGAAGATCTGGAAACCCTGAGGCTCTTCTCGAGAGTGGTGAGAAGCCTTCTGTAACATGGACTCCTGTTTGTTTTTAATCCTTTGTCTGAGACTCTGCTTCCCTCCGGTAGCTTATGCTTATCAGTTTTCTTCCCCTGCTCCCCGCAGCTTATTGCTGCAGTTCCTCCTTTCACTCAGCCCTTGTTGATGGGTGCCCTCCTAGGCTACAAGTAACCCTAGAGAGAGGATGGAAACTGGCCACTCATTTTCCAGTTATTCTAATTTGAGACATCTGTGACAAATTTTTTATTCCATTTTATTGGGAGCTCTTACAGATATTATAACAATCCATAGTTGAATTAGATCAAGCATAATTGTACAATTGCTGCCACCAACATTTTCAAAACATTTTCTTTATTTTTGAACTGTTTTATATCAGCTCCGTTATTCCACCCCGCCCCCCAGGAATCCTTGTTATTATATATATATGTGTGTGTGTGTATAAATTTTTTCCCTCTATCTTACACCTTCCATTGTATCCGTTCACCTACAATTCCATTATTCGTTCCCCTCGAGTGGGGTTATACAGTCATTGCTGTCGTTTCCCCCCTCTCCTCCTGTGACGATGTTTTTTAAGGTCAAAGGGCGATAAAGGGCTGTAAGACTTACTGACAGAGGCACACACAGCTTTATGCCACTAAAAAGTAACTTGCTTAAAACTCAGAGCTAAGGAAGGGATTCTGGTTCAGTTTACCTTTGTGGAATTTTAATAGCTAATTCCTGGAAACGTAGCTGCTGATGAATTCTATATCTTCTCCACTGGTGTCCATGATTAGATCCCTGAATATTGCCGAGCCTTAGAAGAGAATGAAATATCAGAGCACTGCTTTGATTTGATTTTTGCTTTTGATGAAATTGTCGCCCTGGGATACCGAGAGAATGTGAACCTGGCACAGATCAGAACTTTCACAGAGATGGATTCTCATGAAGAGAAGGTGTTCAGAGCAGTCAGAGAGGTAAGGGGGGTTTTGCTCAGGGGCTGCCAGGTAGTATATTTTTCTTGTAGAGCTTACTAATCTGGTTTACCTCCTCCTACTGGCTATTAGAGACTATTCAATCTGTATCCCTGCGTGTCTTTTTTTATAGACTCAAGAACGGGAAGCCAAGGCTGAGATGCGGCGTAAAGCCAAGGAATTACAGCAGGCCCGAAGAGATGCAGAAAGAATGGGCAAAAAAGCACCAGGGTTTGGGGGTTTTGGAAGCTCTGCAGTATCTGGAGGCAGCACAGCTGCTATGATCACAGAAACCATCATTGAAACTGAAAAACCAAAATTGGCACCTACACCGGCCAGGTATTAATCCAGAGTCCTTCGAGCACCCCTAGAACATCACTTGAAGACTGTATGTATGTCTGTGGAGCAATATCTCATTGCAAGGCAAGCTGTAAATAACGAGTGATTTCATGAAGTAAGGCACAAAATTAAATTTGGCTATATAATACGAGGATAAAAGAAAAATCAATGTAATTTTTTTCCTTTTAGGTAAAAGGATTTTTTAAAAAACAAATTATACTAAGACCTCTTAATTATCTGATTTTGGATGGGGAGGAATATTTAATTTTATGAAACAAAGATTTTTAAAATCTTGGTGTTCATGGATGGATTTCAGGGGGAAATCTGTGAACTGCCTGAAATTATATACAAAATTTTGTTTGTGTGTAGGTACATTTATCTGGATGGCAGGTATGTTGTCTTCATCAGCTTATGTGTGTTTATAGAAGTACTACATATTTGGTCTTTGGATACTCAAACTTTTGTTAATGTTAGCTGTCAATTTGAGCAGCTTTATTTTTATAATTTTATTTGGCCATAATAGCCTAATGGAAAGCTTGAGATGAAGCTTGAGATTTTTCTTTGAGGTCTTCATATGTCTCCTAATGAGTAGCTCTATGGAATATTTAATAGATATGGGGCTGTTAATCAGTGTTTGTTTTCTTTTTCTTAATTGTGTATGGGCATACTCTCTTCTAAGTTGTCTTCTTTCACTTAGGCCTTCAGGCCCCAGCAAGGCTTTGAAACTTGGAGCCAAAGGAAAAGAAGTAGATAACTTTGTGGACAAATTGAAATCCGAGGGTGAAACTGTCATGTCCTCCAATATGGGCAAGCGTACCTCTGAAGCAACCAAAGTGCATGCTCCGCCTGTTCATATGGAAAGGTAAGTAGTAATTTTTTTAGTATAATAGACCACATAGTTTTTTAAAATCCTAATTCCGGATGCATTCTTTACAACTGCATTCTTTATTTTTGTTATTAATTTGATATATATGTATATATAGAGAGTATATCATTCCATAGTTCAATCGCGTCGAGCAGAATTGTACAATTGCTACCACAATCCGTTTCCACACATTCTTTTTCTACATGGACTCCTTAACATCGTCTCCCTTTCACCCCCCGCACTGTACTCCCTCTCCCCGAAACCCTTATTCTACTTGCTGCCTTTGTAGGTTCATCAGTCCTGGGTTTCATATATCAAAACACGGAAAGACATATAACACAGCTTCAAAAGGGTGACCTCCAATTACGTGACGCCTCTGAGATCTTTATAAGACTTAATCCAAGTACATTCTAGGTATTGGTAGAAAATTTCTCCCCCTCTCCCCCATACCCCTTTTAGCCATAACTGGGGATCTTTCCATCATCTCTCTTTTAGGAAGTCCAGAATTTGCCTTTTATCAACTCTTTGCTCCTTAAATTAATAAAACATAATTTGTCTACATGCCTAATGTACTATATATGCTTTATCTCTTAAAATGAACTTTGAATTGGGGGGACTGGAACTATGATCAGCCACATAGTAAATTGGGAATTTTTCTATCCTTTAAATTAAATTTTAAGGAGAACCAGCCTAAAATAAAAAATTATAAATTAACATTTTGTTTAAATCATTTTATTAGGGGCTCATACAACTCATCACAATCCATACATACATCAATTGTGTAAAGCACATTTTTACATTCATTGCCCTCATCATTCTCAAAACATTTCCTCTCCACTTAAGCCCCTGGCATTAGGTCCTCATTTTTCCCCTCCCTCCCCACTCCCCCCTCCCTCATGAGCCCTTGATAATTTATAAATTATTATTTTGTTGTATCTTGCCCTGTCCGATGTCTCCCTTCACCCACTTTTCTGTTGTCCGTCCTCCAGGGAGGAGGTCACATATAGTAACATTATCTTTTGCCTGTATGTAAACACAATCTTTTGTCTTTTAGGCTGTGGTACTGGTTGGCAATATTTTAAAGCTGTTATCACGTCCATATATTCATTACTCAAAATTCTTGTCTTGAAGTGCACACCTACTGTTGCTGGTGATTTTGAGGTCAGGTGTAAGATGAGCAGTTGGAAAACTGCCTCTATCGGCAATGAAGAGTGTTTACTTTTTGTGTGCTTACTCTCTGCCGTGAGTGTGGTTCCATCAGGGTAAATCTCTTGAATTGTTCAAGCTTTCTTTGCTGTCTTAGTGGTAGCTTTGATGGAGAGAGAGGCTTGACGGTTTTTGTTTTTTTCCTTTTTAAATGTGAATGCCATTGTGTGAGTAAGAACCCTTTTTACTGTTGAGCATAGACCAAATTCATGGTAATCCAAAATGAAACCTTGCATTGTCTTTTCTTGCTACCCAACCGCTCTTTTTAAAGTCATTTTCTACATGACTTTTTGGTGTGTTATTGCGGTAAAAAATAGACACAGTAAAACTCCGCATGTGATCTTAAGATACATTCTTTTATGGTCTTGAGTCTAATGCCCTGGTTACTTAGAGGTTGCACCAAGAACAGCATTCCTGTCAGAATGTTCTTTGCAGCCTCTACAGTTCACCCAACTGAAAATAGTGTTAACATAAGACAGTTAAGAATATTAATAGATTGTACTCAACCAATGACCACAGCAGCACCACTGCTATAGTTTTTCAATTATACCTTCCTATTGTTCAAAATGGATGTACAGTGAAGTCTTTCACTCCTATTTTCCAACTACATTTTTTTTTTCCTCTCTGGAGGCAACCAGTATTAACCAATTTGTGTGTGTGTGTGTGTGTCCGTCCTTCAAAGGGTGATAATCTTAGGTTAAGGTAAGTAAAAACATATGCATTCTATTTTTCTCCCCCTTTTACACACAAAAGGTAACGTGCTAGATATATTAGGTTTTTTACCTAATTATCTTGGAGATAAGAATGTCCTTAATTGAGGAGATAGAAACATGACGTCTGAATACCTGGCCCTAAACTGATCCTGTACTGCCAAGAAAGACCTTATTAGATGAACTGACAGGATTAGCATGTGGATGGTAGATGAAAGTATTATATTAACATGACTTTGTGAAGTTTATTACTCTTGTGGTGTGAGAATAACTATTATGATGAAAGAAGATCTCTATTCTTAGAAAAGAGACACTGAAGTGCTGTTAGGGTTAAAGAGCTTTCTTGTATGTAATATAATCTGCCCTCACGTGCTTTAGGAAAATAATAAATGTACACAGAGATGTACAGAGTGCACGCTCAAGCCAGCGAACTCACAAATGCAAATAACATGTTGACAGTAAACAAATCTTGATAAAAGGCATACATGTGTCCCTTGTGTAATTTTTTCTTCCCTTGTGTAATATTTTTTAATTTCTTAAAAGTTCCAATGTTTTCTGCTGCTTAGGAGAGCTGCCTCCTACCCAGTTGAGTGGATATACCTTTATTTAAGCAGCCTCCTATTAACTGGTATTTGAATTGTTTCCAAAGTTTGCTGTTACAGGCAATTCTGTGAATAACTTAGTACAATATTTTGTATATATGCGTGTCCTCTTTGGAAAAAGAATTCACTATCAAAAGACATAATGATTTATATTTTGAAGATAGAACAGCATCACTGTAAAGACTCTTACGTGGTCAATCACTGTTCAACTTTGCTGAAAGGGAATTCTGGATTCTGCCTGTAAGTGCATGACTTTCCCCCACAGTGTGCATATGAAGATTGAGGAAAAGATCACACTGACCTGCGGAAGAGATGGTGGATTACAGAACATGGAGCTGCATGGCATGATCATGCTTAGGATCTCAGATGATAAATTTGGCCGAATTCGTCTTCATGTGGAAAATGAAGACAAGAAAGGGGTGCAGCTACAGGTGTGTCAAAGCTTTTGTTAGGCAGTAGTCAGTGCTTTTTTCATTAGCCTGTGGGCACTAGCTAAATGGTATATATAGAATCTTTACAAAATGAATGTGTATACTTCGTCTATTTAAATCTATGCGCCTTCCTTATCTTTATATTACTGTGTTATCACATTTTATGCCATTGATTTATATATGTTGTCACAGGAGCAAAACCTTTTTTAATAAAAGTGCGTTTTTGTGTTGTCTGTCACAGCCCCCCCCCCCCCCCCCCAATCACAGCACAGAAGTCTTGAAACAGTGCTTATGTTATTTTATGTTATTTGACAGCAGCTTCTCTGGTTCTTAAAGTGTATACTTAACACTTTCCAGAAGCGTTTTCTTTTTTCCCCTAATAGGATTTCTTTTTTTAAAGTTAGAGTATCTTAATTGGTCTGAATTTGAACACTTGAATTCTCTAGGCAGAATTGTATCAAACTATTGACTTAGCTTTTCCGACTCCTGCCTGCTACTATGAGGCCAGGGCTGTAATTCTCAGCCAACTAATTAACCAATGTCTAGTCCCCAACTGGGCAAGCCTGGCCCCACCATGAGTCTATTCTCTATAAAGTACTTTGGAAAGGACTTGTTCTTTAATTTTTTCTATGGAAAACTCTTTGTTTTTAATGGCTTTTAGTGTTGCATTTATTTTTATTCTATTTACTATTTTAAGTTTCTTCAATCCTTTGAAAAACTTCAAGTTTGGGACATCTTCAGAATAAAAAGAATTTGAATTTTTAAAGTGCCCTATTTCAGATAGTTAGATCATTCTTGAATTAAAGCTGCAGGTTATTTAAGACCAAAGGAAATTTATTTTCTTTCATATGGTGTCTGAACCTCAGAAGTTGCCTTTCTTCCCCCTGTCATTTCAGACCCATCCAAATGTGGATAAAAAACTTTTTACTGCAGAATCTTTAATTGGTTTGAAGAATCCAGAGAAGTCATTTCCGGTCAACAGCGATGTAGGAGTGTTAAAATGGAGACTACAAACCACAGAGGAGTCTTTTATTCCACTGACGAGTAAGTGCTATTGGCCAGTCCCACCAAGCAAGTCTGCACTGACAACTAGACGTAGCCCTGGTGTATAAAAGCTCTAATCTTCATGATCACAGCAAATTCTTTTTGACTAGATGACTTTTCATAATGGATTGAAGGTTTTATATAGTTTAATCATTAGCTTTAATATTTAATACTCACTTGGAAGTAATTAATTTTAACATAGTCTGCATTGGGTTGTTCAAGGCTTGTAGCTGTCAGTTTTGATTTGCATCTTTTTTTTTCACCTCACCGTTTAATTCTCTAGTGTACCTACTTTGTTTATCTCCTCAGTTAATTGCTGGCCCTCGGAAAGTGGAAATGGCTGTGATGTCAACATAGAGTATGAGCTACAAGAAGATAGTTTAGAACTAAATGATGTGATTATCACCATCCCACTCCCGTAAGTGATTCTACCCCCACCCAACTCCTAATCATTTTCTCTACATTGGTTTTTTGGAATGTAGATCTGGTCTTTTGGGGATTCATTTTGTAGGCAGCACCTATCTTTGTTAAGAAATTGACTTATTTTTTTTGAAATTGACTTAAGAAAACCCGTGAGAGAAGAGACACACAAGGTATTGGCTATATGATTCCATTTGTTCGAGAGCCTGCGAAAGGTGAAACTGTAGGAGCAGAAGACGCCTGATTGTGTCTAGGGGTAGAGAGGAGAACGCTGGCAGCAACCAGGCCCAAGGGAACTTTTGGTGATAGAAATGCTTTCTGAGTCCTCATACATTTGTCAAAATGCTTAGAACTGTACATTGCGAAAGCATGGGTTTTACCATTTTTTCATGCACTTGAAGGGCTGTCATCAGAAATATGAAAAGTTACAAGTGTTGGCGAGGAAGTGGAACAATTGGCACCTTTGAACATAATTGGTAACAATTAAAATAGTTGAAGTTTTGTTCTATTTTACCACAGTACAATTAAAGGGAGAGTAGTATTTTATTGATGTAAAAGCCAAGTCAAACAAGCAAACAAAGTCAGTTGTAATTCTCGAGCTATGTGTTAGTCCTGAGTTTGTTCATGTAGTGAGGAAGCCTTCCAGAAGGAGGAACCACTTCTCAGTCAAAGCACCTCGATTTTGTTTGCCAACTCTCAAAGAATTGGGTCTGTCAGATGATGAATTTTTCTTCTTCAATTTGATCACAAATTAAAGATGGAAGTGGATTTTCAGGGAAACTATTGATTCTCCATATGATTTGCCTTAAAATTTTTAACAGCTTTATGGAAGTGTACATGTGGGGAAGTAAAAAAGTATTACTACAAAACATTGAAACCTTTATTAAAGAATAGCAAACTGTGAAACTTGTTTCTGAAAGCGGTGTTCTGTCTGTTCCCTTCGATTTCTATCACATCCAAAGGGTGGTGTGGGCGTCCTCAAGGGGCAGTCATGTTCCTCTTTTTCTCTCTCAGTGTTTGAGGGGTAGAGCAGGACTGTACGGTGCAGGGTGTAAGGTTTCCCAACAAAATCCTTGTAGGATAGCCCTTGCTGCGCTCGCAGAATGTGCAAGTGCAATGTGATGGAAAAGAATTCCTCAGACCAAATTCTCTTGCTTTTTCCTCATTGATGTGGGTTTCCATTTTCTTAAAACATCTTCCTAATAAGCTGCCAAATCACTCTGTGTCCTTAAAAAAATCTCCCAGGATTATCCCTGAGGGTTTCCAACACAGTCGCCAGAGCTGACCCAGCACATGCCCTTGGAAGCCACTGGTAGTACAGGACTCGTCCCTGATTACCATGGTGTCCGTAAAATCATGTTCATTAGCTTCAGTCTTGCTTAAAAGACTGACAGAATGCTCACCTCTGAGAAAGTTGATCTTCATGGATTATTTCTGGCACCCATCCAGCTGAAAGGTTGCTTACTAAAGACAAGATGCTTGCTTAAGATTGGAAATGCCAAAGCGGGTGAGAGACCAGCTTCAGCAGCTCTGGCATCAAGGTCACTTGGTAGTCGTCTTCGACCAGTGAGTGTCTGGACAAGTGCAGCACAGGCTCTTGATTCATAAGACTGACAGTCTCCCCTCATGACTCATCTTTTAAAGTCTTCCTTGAAATGCTTGGTCAATCTAAAAATGGTTGTTTTAGATGGAGCAGCATTCCGCTAAACTTCTAACATAGCTTCAGTAATTTGGGAAGATGGCCACTTGAGGTTTTTTTTTAATTTGATATTAACCCTGATTTCAAAACAATAAATGAATGATGGCATGTATGGTGTGTATTATTTTACTTTATTATTATTTTTAAGGCCCCCGATGAGACTAAGACAAGTGTCCTACTGAGAGAACTTGTCTGCAGTCATGCACGGATAAGAAAGATAGGCTTAAAACCCTGTGGTTGGAGCCCTAGTGACGATGTTTTTACTCTCATGCAGTATGCAACAATTGCATCATTTGGTGAGTTTGACAGAAACACCCATAAAAACATCGCCACAGTCACAATAATGAACATGCCCATCACCCCCAGACATTTCAGCAAGTTTCCCTTTTTTAATTTTTATTGAGTAAGCCCTATTGGTTACAAGTTGGACTGCGATCCAAAAGGTCAGCAGTTCAAAACCACCAACCCCCTCAGGACGAAGACGGGGCCCTTCTGCCCTGTTGTATTGGGTCACTATGAATTGGCATAGACTTGGTGGTAGTGGATTAAAGTATAGATAACAAAATTTGTCTTGGTCAGTGGCACTAACTACATTCACAGTGTCACACTCTTCGTTTCAAACCTTTTCACCTCACCCTGGAACTCTGTACCCCTCCAGCAGTGACTCTTCATCCCTCCACTTCTTCCCCCAAACTCTTGATGACCTATGATCAGTTGCTGCTGCTTTTCTTTTTTTTTTTTAAGAATTTGCATATTATAGATATTTCATATAAGTGGAATTATAAAATAATCTTTTGTGTCTGGCTTATTTCACTTAGCTGAATGTTTTTAAGAGTTATTCATTTTGTATTAGATTTCAGAACTTTATCCTTTTGGTTGAATAATACGAGATTATACATTTATAACACATTTTGTTTTACCATCCATCTGTTGATGGATACTTGGGGTCCTTTCTACCTTTTGGTTATTGTAAATAACGCTTCTGTGAATATTGTTGTAAGGTCATTAATTTGCATTATGCCCTTAAGTAGCCACTTTGTAGGATCATCTGTAAATATTGTCTACCTTAAATGTATCTCCTCAGTGGCATTTCTAGTAAGTATGTGCTACCACTATGTCACTAATGAAATCCCAGGGAGGAGGCCTGCTGCCCTAGGGGTTATGAGTTGGGCTGCTAACCACAAAGTCAGCAGTTTGAAACCAGTAGCCAGCTACTCTGCAGGAGAAAGATGAGGCTTTCTACTCCAGTCTTGGGAACCCACAGGCGCAGTTCTACCCTGTCCTGTAGGATCACTGTGAGTGGAAATGAATCCCACCCAATTCCTTCACCACTACCCACCTTGACTAAGGAGAATGAAATTATAAACACAGTAAGTATATTCTTATTGTGCCATCACTAGTACATTGCTCAGTTATTGCTGCAAAAGAAATGGTACTGATTTAATTTGTCATTTTGTTCTCAATTTGATATGCAGGCCTTTGCATGGCCAGGCCTGGCTTTAGACATTTTTATTTCTGTGTTTTAAAAGCATACTTTATTAAACAGCCGTATCTACTCTTCACAGTGTGCTTATTCTCTCAGAATAGTAGACACCTGAGTGCCTTGACTGACCCATTGTTGGGCTCCAGTGTTGGTGACGGCTGGAGATTTTGTTTGTGGAGATTTATTTTGCTAGACTGTTTTTAGGCCTTTCTCTGTACCCTATACTTGTGGTTTTGGTGATTTCCTGTGTCTGACTTGTTTTACAGTGGTCTGCAGGAGAGACCTGTAGACAACATTTTACCCCATGATCCATAACTGATCAAATTAGAATTGGAATTGAAGCCAAGGGTACAGAGAAGGAACATGTACAGAAAAATAATTGAGACCATAAAATGGATAGAAAAGAATGTATAGCCTGTGTCACCCTTAAAGTTTTTCTTTGTCTCCCTTATTTACCCTACCCCTGTTACAAACATTGAATGTCAACTGGTGAATTAAGAGAGTAAATTTAGAATGTGTAGGAGTAGGTGACACTCCTGTCAGCCCTGTGTGGGGGTGCACGGTACACCCTAACTAGCCCTGGTTCTCTCTACCATCATGTTCCCACTCTGCCCAGAAATAATTATGTGTTCACTTTTACGTGAAAGCCTTCTTACTGGTTTACAAATTAAAATATATCTTCTGGGGTCAAATACAGTGTAAGTTTTGAAACGTTCTAAAATTTTTGAAAATCTATCCTCTCAAGGATTCAAATTCACCCTCATTTTAAGGAACTATAGAATTTTCTCCCACTGTTAATCAGTCAGCTTCTTTTCCTCCCCATCTCTACAGAGTTGCACCAAACTCAAATTTCTTCTTGGCAGGGCAACACAGGAATAAACATTTGTGCAGGGTTGTGGGACTATATCCTCTTCATAAGACTTCTCAGTCATAGTCCCCTGCCAGCTCCCAGATTTAGTTTACAAGCAACCCACAGCATATCTGCTAGATACTCATTGCTTATATGTATATCTTCTAGGGAAATTGAGTGAAACCCTTAACAAAGAGGGAAGACTGTTTGGTCCTTGACATTAGTAAGGAGCCTAACTTTTCCTACTCCCGCTAGTCTGTCAGTTTGCATGTTGGTGTGATGCTGGGAGCTATGCCAGCACGGTCACTTGTGGAAAACAGGGTTCAGTGGAGCTTCCAGACTAGGAAGGATTAGTCATTGTCTGTCTCCCCATGAGAAAGATTGATAGAGCTGCTGTAACTTGGGCTCAAACATAACAATAATAGGCTGGTGCAGAGTTGGGCAGTGTTCATTAGTGCATGCGGTCACTGAATCAGAACCAACCGACACAGCTTTTTTTCCTAGGACAAGTGTGCAGTATTGGGGAGACCAATGACATTTGGGGCCGGTGTCCGTCTGGGCACCTAAATTGGCAAGGATATTTCTCACGGCAGGTCTGGTGTTGGAGCACCTGTGATTGGTGAGATCGATGGCGAGTATCGACATGACAGTCGACGAAACACGTTGGAGTGGTGCCTGCCAGTGATTGATGCCAAAAATAAGAGTGGCAGCTTGGAGTTCAGCATCGCCGGGCAGCCCAATGACTTCTTTCCTGTTCAAGTTTCCTTCATCTCCAAAAAAAATTACTGCAACATCCAGGTACCTCCTTTGACTGAAGAGCAGGTGTGGGGCCAGTGGCACGGAAGGTAGCAGCATGACTTCATTGTTAAGAGTAGGAATCAAAACAGTTGAGATCCACTGCAGGTTCCATCACTCACTCACTGTAGGATCTTTGGCAAATCCCATCGCTGCTTTACCTCAGCTTTCCTGTCTAGGTTGGACCAAGTAAAGAGATCAAATATGAACCAGAAGATACTTACAGCTTGTGCAAGAGACCATACTCTTGGTTTACATACTTTTTAAACCTTGTATATTTTGTATTTCCATTTGCCAAAACACCTCATACAGGATTTTATAATGCCTTACTGTCACTGGTTCTTTAATCCTAGGAATGAAAGGTTTAGTTTTGTTTTTTTCATTGGTCAAAATGACTGCCCGCCTCCCCCCCCCTTAAAAAAAAAAAGAGGTGACATTCTACTACAAATGGACATGATCTTTGGATGTTGTATCCCAGCTTCCCCTCATTACTACAGATAAACCTGAGCCAAGTCCTTTAAGCAAGAATGTGTAAACTATCTCTTTAGGTCATTGTTTTAGCCCATTATTCCTCCAGTTTTTGAAAATATAAAGGCTCAGTTTATATTGTCTTCTTTCTGACTTACTATTCTGGCTCCATCTTATCTTTCCTCCACACCCACCCCAATTGCTTGAGAAATATTATCTTCTGCTGGATGATTGCAAAGAAAGGCTCTCCTCTGTCTCTTGTCTCTCCCCACCTCCCCTCAGTCCTTGGCATAGTCACTGGTAGTGGAGTCATATTATTGAGTTCAAGGCATAGGCTAGAATGTGGGTCCCTTTTCTGTTTGAGACCTTTCAAAGAGTAGCACAGTGTCGATGCTCCCGGCACCTCATTTGAAAATAGAAGTTAGTGGTTCAGTATTGCATTGGTGTGGATACAGGCATGACATGAGTGTTCACGTTAGAGTAATCATTAAACTCCACATTTATTTTTTTAAACCTACATTAGAGCCCAGCCACATCTAGGAAATGGTATGCTAGAGAAACTTAGACTTTAGACTCAATAAGGCTTTAAACTCGAGAGTTTCAAAAAAAAAAGTTAGTTGATCATCCTGAGAGACAAAGTCTTCTGTGAATCTTGTAGAGTTTGCAGGCAGACCCTGCGCTCTAGCCACTTATTCTGAACCTTTTCCTTAAGGTTGCTCTGATAGTTTGGGTACATTAGAGAAACAAATCCACAGGAACTCATGTGTAAGAGAGAGTTTTTTTAAAAAAAGAGTTTTATATAAAGGGTGAGTGCACATCAAGAAAACATCCCAACCCAGTGCTGCCCAAGCCCACAAGTCCAACCAGTATTAACCCATATGTCCAACATCAACCCACAAAGTCCTCCTCCATCTCACAAAACACATGACACAATGATGCCGACTGCAGGAGGAAAGCCCGGTCAGTGAACGTATAAGCATCTCAGCACTGGCAGGGGTCTCCACACGGCTGCTCCAGCACCCAGGGCTGCATTGGGGTAGGTCCATGCAGCTTCTCCTTGGGGATGTCTTGCAGGAAGTGATCCTTGCCAGCTGAAGCAGGGATCTGGCCAAGGCAGCTGCACCCTGGTCCAACCATCACAAAGCAAGAGACCCGAGAACTAGAAAGGCGAGGCCTTTTATCCCTCCGCCCTTCAATTAACCCCACATGTGTTTATTGGCCAGGTTGGCACAATAAACTAAATACCTCAGTTGCTCTACATCTCATCCCTCTGCAGTTACTGTATATACTCGAGTATATATGGTATCTCTAATTCTAGTCCATTTAATAGTTATCTTTTCTATCTAGAGAAAAAATTGATAATGTTGATAGGAAAGAAGGGAATATGAGTTACAGTTGCAAATTGCAAGACGGGAGCAACTTAGAAAAGTTCTGAGTTTACCTGCAGAACTGCTTTTAGGGGATTTGGTCGATTCTGTAGTAAGAATTTGACATTTGGTAGACTCAATCTCCTCTCAGCTTTGCTTTGTTCTTTATTTTTGTAGGTTACCAAAGTGACCCAAGTAGATGGAAACAGCCCTGTAAGATTTTCCATGGAGACCACTTTCCTCGTGGATAAGTACGAAATCCTGTAATACCAAGAAGAGGAGACTAGAGGGAAATTTTTCAAGTTCACAATGAACAAGCCAACCGTTGGCTGAAGAGTTTTTTTTCCAAATCTACAAGCCATTGGAGCCCCCTTTTTCTGATATCATGCACGATTCTCTACGCGCAAGGACCCTCAACTCACCCCAGGGTTTCAGTGTCACAGGGACATTCTGTGGCAAAGAGATGACACAACAAAGGGAAAGGCTCCTGATTTCTTTGGCAGATTTCACTGGCAGCAGGAAGGCAAGCGCTGCAGACAGTGACCCAGTTTGGCACCTTCTTAGCCTTCACCGAAGCGGTCCTTTGTTTAATCCCTAAATATGGTTCTAGTCATACTTTGTTTTTTCAATTTTTTTCTGAAGGTTTTAGACTTTCGTGTATTTTTTCTTTACCTGTAGTAGTTTTGGGGAATTCTACCCCCACTCCAGCCCCACCCCTTCTTTTTATTCAATTAAGCAATGGGATCTTCTATACTTAGGCAGGCACTCTAGGAAACAAATCAACCTAGTCCATTCTTGATTGTTGGACTAAACAGGTAGACAGACTCCTTTAAGGAATAGGGAACTCCGAAGTTGAAAGATGAGGATATCTTCTGTCCTTTTCCCATGTCCCTCTGTGTCTCTCCCCCCGCCCCCCCAATTCCTTTCCCACGTTTTCCTTTAGTTAGAGCATCACTGTGAACCTGCTGTGTCTAGGAACGGACGAGAGCTGAAAGACTGCTTTCTGATGACACAGCCCCACTTCCAGATGCCTGGGAGAAGGAGGGTGATGGTTAGAGATGCCATATTCACAGGTTAAAAATCATGTTTCCTGCTGGTGCTACCCAAGCTTCTCGCTCTGCCTACTTCACGGAAGACATACTAGCTCCGTCTTCCTGATGTATTCACACTCTTCACGTTCACCACCTCCCTGCTCTAGGTGTCATCATTCCTGTCCTTTCCTGTTCGAGACAAGGTTATGTGATTTTGAAGAATGGGGGTTCAGTTGGTCTTTTTGACAATTCTATTGCTCGTGAAGTATTGCAGAGACTCCATTTCCACCACCAGGGTTTTAGCATTTCAGAAGGCAGCTAACTACTGGTATTTGGGGGTTGCATATATGTCTATACCCCACTTCTTAAAGACTGCCCAACAATTTTCACCAGTCCTCTGCCCTGTTTTCTCTCAGCCTTTCATTTTGAGGGTTAACATGTAGCAGTGGTTTCTTAGCTGTAGCTCATCCATTACTTTTCGGTGGAGAAGACAAACAGCCTGCCCAGGGTTGGCTTTTTTTTTTCCCCAGCGTTGGCTTTTAACCCAGCACTGCACTCCATAGGGTTGGCAAAGATCTGCTGTCAGACTGTAGCCCTTGGTGGCAGAAGGAAAGAGGACTTGCTGCGCATTCAGCTGGTTAGAGTACTGCTCTGTGCTGAATACTGCCTGGCCTCCCTGCAGAGGACTGCGCTGATGCAGAGCCACCAGCCACACCACACTAATAATGGCCATGGATGGAAATGTTTGCCAAAGAAATCTCTAGCCTTTCTCTTTCCCCTCGCTATCAGGGAAGAATTCTTATCTGTAACTTGGTTTCCACATGCAGTTCTTCTGAGGAAGGAAGGGTACTGGGACAAGAAACCTGTCCTGGAATTCAGCAGGCAGGAAATCGTATTAATCCAGTTTTGTTTTTTTGCAAGTCTATGATTTTTAAAATGTCCAAGTTTAGTTTCACAAAAACTTTTTTTTTCCCCCCTGAAATTTCTTTTGGGGTAATATTTAAAATGAGAGACATTTTGTAACCCTGTAAAAAACATAGGGAATATAACATTCCATTGTACACGAAGAAGGTAAATTCTTTAATCAAATAAAGAGTATTATAAAATGAGATGTTTGTTCGACTCTTGATTCTCACACCTTGGTGTCTGCTTACTGATTCAGGATGATGTAATGGGATCTCAGATTAAAAGTTAATACTGTTGGGGGATGGGGGGTTGGTTAAGAGAATATGATCTCAGAGTATTGTTGCCTTTTCCCATATTATAGGTGTGTTATACCTCGTGTGTTTTTCTATATCTGAATTTCTGACGGCCTAGATATGGAAATTTGGTGATACTTACGGAATTGAACTAGGTCAGTCTTTGTCAGGGGCAGTGGCAGTCAGGACATTGAGGCTCCATCTTTAAAGACCAGCAGTGGCCACTGGGGGCTGGGGGGTTGGGGGGGTTAGAGCTGCTGCTTCCCCACTAGACGGAGTGGTCCAGGAATGAATGAGGAATGCCTTCATTGTTCTACCTTGTTCATGCTAGTGTTTTAACTGGAAGATCTGGATTGGACACAACAGGTTGGAAGGTAGGTGATTCTCTAATAATGAAACCAAAGTCACTGACCCACAGTGGCCATGTATGGACAGGGGAGAACTGCCCCTGTGGATTTCCGGGACTAAATCCTTATGGGAGTAGAGAGCTTCCTATTTCTCGCTTGAAGAGACGTAGTTTCAAACTGCTGACCTTTTGATTAGTAGCCCAGTATGTAGCCGCTACACTACTAGGGCTCCATTAGTGAATTAGTTTTTATTACAAGTTTTTCTTTTCACAGGGGAGGCAGAATTTGACTTTTTAGTCCCTTGAGAGAAAGCATCTTGGTCTGAAGTTGCTAAAGCGGGCTCAGCCACAGCTGTCCCCCTGCATCAGGTGCACGTCTCGGTCCTGTGAGGGAGAAGAGGAATAACTGGTCCATGCGGGGGCTTGTAGATGAACTCATTCTGCATAGATGAAAGGGAGGGTAGCGGTAGATCTCGTTCATCTACTCAAAAATGGTTTTAAACCTCAGACCAAGCAACTCACTTTCCCTGGTAGCTGAGTGGTTAAGTGCTCACCTTGCCAATAAGCCAGCCGATCATGCCCACCAAGTAACAAAATTCTTGTTTGCTTTTTTTATATATCATTTTATTGGGGGCTCCAACAACTTATCACAATCCATACATAAATTTTATAAAGCACATTTGTTACCCTCATCCTCAAAACATTTGCTCTCCACTTAAGCCCCTGGCATCAGCTCATTTTTTACCCGGCCCTCCCGCCACCCCCTCCCTCATGAACCCTTGATAATTTATAAATTAATTGTTTTGTCATATCTTACACTGGCATCTCCCTTCACCCACTTTTCTGTTGTCCGTTCCCCAGGGAGGAGGTTATATGTAGATTCCTGTAATCTGTTCACCCTTTCTACCCCACTCTCCCAGTATCGCCACTCACACCACTAGTCCTCAAGGGCTGGCTCATCTGTCCTGGATTCCCTGTGTTTCCAGTTCCTATCTGTACCAGTTTACATCCTCTGGTCTAGCCAGATTTGTAAGGTAGAATTGGGATCATGATAGTGGGGAGGGAGGAAGCATTTAGGAACTAGAGGAAAGTTGTATGTTTCATCATTGCTACACTGCACCCTGACAAGCTTGTCTCCTCCCCACGACCCTTCTGTAAAGGGAGTCCAGTTGCCTACAGATGGGCTTTGGGTCCTCTCTCCGCACTTCCCCTCATTCACAATGATAGGATGTTTTGTTCTTTGATGCCTGATACCTCATCCCTTCGACACCTCGTGATCACACGGGATGGTATGCTTCATCCATGTGGGTTTTGTTGCTTCCGAGCTAGATGGCTGCTTGTTTACCTTCAAGCCTTTAAGACCCCAGATGCTATATCTTGATAGCTGGGCACCATCAGCTTATGCACACATTTGTTTTCAGCGATTGTGTTGGGAAGGCGAGCATCATGGAATGCCAGTTTAATAGAAGAAAGTATTCTTGCATTGAGGGAGTACTTGGAGTAGAGGCCCAATGTCCTTCTCCTACCTTAATATTAAACCTATAAATATATGCACATAAATCTTTTTTCCCGTCCTCATATACAAATATATTTACATATGTACATGCCTTTATTTAGACCTCTATAAATGCCCTTTGCCT